GGGGGGGGAGCGGTAGGGTGTAATGGCTAACTCACAAAGCAGGAAACTAGGAGATCTGGGTTCTGTTCCCAGCTCTGGTTGTGTAATATTGGGTAAATCACTTCAATTTTATGTGCCTCGGTTTCCCCATCTGTGAAATGGGGAGGATGATAACACCTACGTCTCAGGGGAGTTTTCAAAGAGCTTTTAGAGTCCCAGAGGAAGGGTGCTATAGAAGTCTAATCATTATTTAACTTCTTGTGCTACTACAAGAGAACCCCATTGTGCTGGATAAAATTCCCTCTCTTACGTGCACAAAAGGGTTTCCCTTCTCAGAGGCCTAAATGCACCCACTGCTACGTGACGCTTATGCTGTACGGACAACAAAGGAGGGCAGGTGGGATGAAATCCAGTCATGGGCAGGTGATTGGTGTTCCATTTCAAGAGTGGGTGTAGACACAAGAAAATACAGTGGAACCGGACTGATGGTAGGACAGTAAGAATGGCTATTACATCTTACATCTACTCCAGTCTGCTCTCTGAGACAATGGACAAGGGTCAGTTTCAGATGTTTCAGAGAAAGGTATAAGAGATCCTGTTATGGATCCCCATGAACCAGTGATTGGCTTAAGCTAGAGTTTATATCCCTACTTAATTATTTGTATTTTTTTAAAAAAAAATCCTTGTCTGTATAATGTGTACTTAAATTGTTATGCTTATGCAATTTTCTATTGTCTTTGTAAATGCCGCACTCATGTTGATCTGTATTACAAAACATAACAATTATGTGCCATTAATGTAGGGGATTAGGCACAAAGGGAACTATGTAAGAAGGGGCTTAAAAAAAAATTTCTGTTGGTGTTAATTTCTAAAGAGCCATCAGTGTTTGTATTCCCTGTAACTGAACAATAGGACTTTGTTTTTGTTCTTGGTGTAAATTAAAAACATCTGTTCTTTTATATGAAATAGTTGTTGTTTTTTAAAAATAAGCTGGTCTGATCTAACTAAATACCAATGCTGTGTCCATAATGAGTTACTATTAATATTTGGGAAAGGCAATCATCCAAAGCAAGTGTAATGTCAAATAACTGGCAGGAGCACAAATTTATTCCTAAAAGTGACAGGCAGAAACACAGAGGTTAGAAAAACAAAATTCTTCTGGATGACTAATAGCACTTATATATGCCCTCTATGCCCCATCACAGCATTTGTGATTGGCTTAAGTGTTTTGCTGTTACTCTCCCAAGATGCTAGTATCCTGGCATTCTCACTGCAGGAACAGCAGCTCTGTTCCTCCCTCTGTCCATCGGAGCCTGAATTCATGACCCGCAAGATGCGTTGGTATACAATGCACCTATTTAATCTGTGGGTTTTTCCCTGATCTGGTATTTAGTTGAGTGGAGTTTTTTCAGGCAGGTGGCGGTGGGGAGGTGTCGCATAGTGCCAACAGGATGCTAGATTGTTTGTCTTCATGTTTGTCTGTGAAGTCCTTGTGGAAAGGAGTTTGCAGTCTATGGACCAGGTTCTGTCCTTCTTCCCCATACTGAGTAGTATCTGACTTGAAAATGGACCCCAGTTGCTTTGATTAGGCTAACTGGAGTACAGTGTCCAGTTTTGGGCCCCACACTACAAGAAGGATGTGGAAAAATTGGAAAGAGTCCAGCGGAGGGCAACAAAAATGATTAGGGGGCTGGAGCACATGACTTATGAGGAGAAGCTGAGGGAACTGGGA